AAATATATGACTATTTCTTTAGGGAAGTTTACCCCAAAAATGCAAGAAAATCATTCTGCACATCAGAAAAATGCAAATTCTCATACAAAATTACAAATATAGAATCTTTTATCCAATGAAAACGTAGAATTAATGCACTATTCACCGTGCAATGCCGACTTAAGTCGTGTTTTCTTTTCGTTTCAAAAAGACAAACTCCATTGCATGTTCCACGATTTTTAACATCAAACGAAGCCATTGAAGAATTGTAAAATTATATTCTGCTTATACTACTTTCTGATCGAAGAAAATGTTTTGACAATTAGATAACTGCATCCAAAAGTTTCTTGAATGCAATGATGAATATTTGGAATAACGATAGGCACATTTTTTCATTGCCAAATGTTTTTGTTTTCTTCTATGTCGAAAAAAAGCCACAATCCTCGTATATGAATCGCAAAAAAAGCATTACTATTGTACAATATTAATTATTGTACAATCAACTACTAGTATTGTACAATCTCATATGAATATCAACCATATTTGGACCTCATAAAACTTAAATGATTCTTTGGAAACCAACAAATCCACACATACCATTTCCAATATCTAAAAATAACTGTATCACCTCTAATAGTAAACCAACACAATAATTATTTTCAAATCAATATGAAACCCTTTATCGTTGTCATTATACTCCTACTAAAATATTAGCTATACATTTACAACATCAATTTGAACAATTTGAAATATTGAATAGTCCAATTGAGGATATGTATTCTATAAAAACCATTAGACATTGTATTATAAATCAAATATATAAATATAATATATAGAGAGCGGCAAAAGTCTGGAATATTCTCAATAATAGAAAAACAGACTATTTTTATTTTTAATTTGAATATTTCTTGTCTTAAGTATAAGAAAATATACAAGGTACAAACTTTCAAGTAAAATGACGGCATTGCCACATTTTTAAATCGAATGCCCTGTAGATTTTTATAGCCATAAAACAAGGACTTGTAATCAAATTCATTGATGTTAATTGAATAAAGTTCGCAAAAAATATTTTTTCAATGTTCAAGTATAAATAAGATTTTAATCCAAATATGTACTGCAAATAGCAACAAAAAATTTCAGACATCCAAAATGTCCTCCAACCCTGACAATAGCCTAGCAGCCTATTTTGGAATTAATTTAACACATTGATAATTGTATCTGGTAGAATTATGCTCTAATTCATTCCTTTAGCTTTTCCAAATGATCTGTTGTTTTAACATTTACTTTTATTTTAGCCCCACAGAAAAATGTCTAAGGATGTTAGATCAGGTGATCTTTCTGGTTCCTACGCCTGATCCATCTATAAGGAAGCAAATAATTCAGTTAACATCCATGACCATCATGATTCATGAGAAAATGTGTCAAAACTAACAAACATGTATAACGACATTAATTTATGAAACAGGGATAATTCCACAAATATGATTGGAGTCCATATTTATCCCACTTTAAAAAAAAAAACTAATACATTATCATGAAAACGCCTCAAAATCACTCTTCAAAAAAGAACTATATTGAAAGCAATGAGCATGCAACTGAATCATCAGCTAGTGAAAATTTACTTCACTATCACAATGCCATACAAAAAAGATTTAACAACAATTAAATTGTCAATGCCTATTTTAAGGAGCATAAGGTACTTTTTTGCTTTAATTATATTTTTTTATTCAATATTATAACTCTTCAAGAGTATCTAGTTAACATTTTAGAGTCAACAGAGCAAAATTGATGGAATTATAAGCATTTAGAAGTAAGTGAGTTGAGTGAGTGCAGTGAGTGAATGAGATTGGTCTCCTTGAATTTTGGTGTTACAGAAGAATCCTATGAATATCAAGAACTCAAAGAATGCCAATCATAGAAGCAACTAGAAGAAAAGGAAATTAACTGGAAACAATATTGCCCATCAAAAGAAGAAAACTTGAGGCAAAATTCAAGGAAAGTGAAATGTGGGAAGATGAAGAATATCATGGCTTAAGAACTTGAGGGAATGGTTTGAATGCAGTAGTGCATATTGTATTCTTGGCAAATATCAGAGTCTGTCCCCTCATGCATTACTGTCTCCCAGGCAATATTTACCTCATTCTACTCCAGACCAGCAAATTAATGATTTCAGGATATAAATTCTTGATTAAAAATATATCATTTACTTTATTACAACTTCGCATCAATGATACACTCCAAGAAACAAATTTTAAAGATTAATGATCATATATGTTTAATAAATTTTCAATATTTTACAAGAATAAACAGAACATGAAAGTAGTGACACATTTTGAAAAAGCTTATTCGAAATTCTTTCAATGGAAAGTCTACAGATCTTCCTAACAATATTCAAGAAGAGACTAGCAAATTTAACATAACAGTAGCTTCAAAGACTTGTTTGAAAAGCTGGAAAAGTTGTAGTATAAGATAGCCCTGGGATTCCCCAAGATTCTACAAGCAGCTTGCAGTATCTACTAGAATTACTGTTTTAATTAAATAGTAATTACTTTAAAATGCCACAAGAAAATAGCTTCAGAACAATATGCAATATCTAATGATGTTTTTAACCACTTTACAGGTATTTTCTACTCTATTCTGAAAATACAAAACAAACACAAAAATTGGTCAAATGCAACTAGAGATTTCAGAGCAACCAGCTTTGGATATACTTTTAGGCTTTTTTACTTAGGATTTTTGTGATAATACACTTCCAGGATGAGTGGTCTGCAAATATATTTGGGTTAGGAACCACTGCTCTAGTCAATATTTTATCAGTTCTTCCTGGATATAGTGAATTTTCTGTCATAAAACACAGAATCTGTTAAACCAGTAAAATTTCTTGGTCTTCATATTGACCAGAACCTAAATTGGGGGGAACAAATACAAAATGCTACAAAAAAACTGAATAGGGCCTGCAACTCAATATGATTATTAAAGAGCTATCTAGACCTGAGGGTTTTACCAAAGAATATAGACGCTTATAAGCGTCTATATTCTTTGGTTTTACTTTCAGTGCTCTTATATTATGCAAACTTTTATTCTGTTGATATGCAATTTTCATTATAAGGCAGCTGATGGAAAAATAAAGAAATTAAAAATCCGTACGTAAACAGTATTCATTGATCTTGAGAGAGTATATGATAGAGGCCCCAAGAGGTTCTGTGGTTAGCACTCAACAATAAAGGGGTTCTCCGTGAGTATGTGAAGAACAGAAATTTTAAATAAGGAAAAGCAAAGCAAAAACTAAAAACTAGGTTAAGATAAGAAGATGAAAGGCAATAGATAATGGGTATATATCAAGAAAATGTTTAGATAAGTAAAATGTACAATGTATAATAAAGCACTTTACACATCAAGCTAAAGCAATATGTCCAAGAATTTGTTTACACTGTGAACTTCGTACTTATTTTTTTATATTTTACGTAATAGCAAAACAGGTATTAAAAATGTAAAAAAATTAATGCCTATTGAGGCTAATAATAGTGATACGCTAATAAATACATTTGCATTTCTAGATAATATATTATATTGACAAGATTAATATTATTGTTTATCATCTTATACAGCTAATAAATAAACAGAAAATAGAAATTTATGTAATAAAGGTTAAATAACTCACCTAGGATTAATAACAGCCATAACAAATGGACAATTAGGAAAATGTCTCTGGTGTTCAGTATCTGGATCATCGCCAACCTCCCAAGCTCTCACAACGCCTTTGCAGAAGGCACATTGTGTATTATCACCTTTTTTAAGGTAATAAAAGCCAGCTTGAACCAAACTATCTGGTGTAACAATATCAGCAGCAGGCCAATTTTCAAAAGAAGCAAGTCTAGTCTCAGAGGACCTGTACATGTTTATCGAAGTGGAAGGTACACGATAGGATAATATAGGAACGTTTCCTGAGGTAGAGGGATTCAGTACGAAGGGACAATCTGGGGTTAAAGCTATATGTCTAGTCATGACTTGATCGCCATAATTCCATTCTGATATCTTTGCATGGCAAGCAAAGCACTCCACTTCTAAGCCTTGTTTAGTGGCAAAGAAACCGGCCTTTGCTATTCTTTGGGGACTTACTTGTGCGTCACTGGGCCATTCACTAAACGTTTGAAGACGGTTTATTTCTTGGTTCATTTTGAAGGACTAGTTCTAATCATGCTAAATAACTATGTAACTTAATAAACAACATTTTAGGAGCTTCTTCCGTTATAATCATTCCGAACACAAAACAGACAATTGAAACATTATTTGATCTTTTTGGGAAATACTTAATTTGATTAGTTTTGACTCTTATCCCGCACCACACAGCTGATGACAGATAAGGGAATTATTGCAGATTTGAGATTGCACCACAGCATAGACACATTGACAGGCACAATCACAAATGTCCTCTGCTGTGATTGGTCTGACAAGTGTATTGACATTGACAAGTAAAAAACTTGGCAGATGACGCAATACATCGCAATAAAATTTCTCATAAAAAATCTAATAAAAAAAACATCTGAGTAATTATAATTGTATTGTTGTAGAAAAATTAAAATGGAAATGAATTACAATTATTCTGTACTTTAATTAAAGAACATTTTTTTTTTCGAAACAAGTGTCTTCTGTTAATTTAAAACATAGAACGTAAATGAGAGTGACACGATCAGAGCGGGAAGTTTTAAATATAAAATGTTTATTTGTGTATAAAAAAAGTCACTATATTAATTAGATTTTTCTATAAAATAATGTCTAATTCAAGTAAATACGAAAACTATATTAAACAATCAACACCACTTAACAGTTTATAAATGTTCCCTTTTATTCACTACACCCAACACTAACCTGACTTTCAAATGCTGCTATTTTAGTTTTATTTTAAGTACATTTATTTTAGCGATAATTTAAAAATTTATTTTTAAAACAAGTGTTGAAATCGTTTAAAATCGTATTTTTATTATTTTTTTATATTAGTTGAACAAGGCAAGGGTCAAAGTGTAATCAAAAGTGGTGGGGAATGCTTTATCACTTATTTGTTCTGGGAATATTTTAAGAATTGTTCTCCACTTATTTTACACGATAGGCTTAAAAATGATCATGTCAAAGCCAACTAAGGTAATAATTGTATTCATTAAATTACAATGAAAACCTCAAATCTCATGTTTTTGTTTTAGGTTATCCAATTGAGCCGAAGACTCTACAGCTCGTCCTCTAAAAATGATATTGTTATTATTTCTGCAGTTCGAACTCCGATGGGTACGTTTCTGGGACCCTTAGCACCTTTATCGGCTACCAGACTGGGAGCAGTCGCCATACAAGCAGCTGTTGAAAGAGCTGGAATTCCCAAAGAAGAAGTCAAAGAAGTTTTTATGGGCCATGTTTGTCAAGGAGGCGCTGGACAAGCACCAGCCAGACAGGCTACAGTTTTTGCAGGTATGTTCATAATGTATACAATTTGTGAAATCATTAAGTAATTCAAAATGGAAGATAAATTACTAGTATATTATGTTATGCTGTTTTTAAATAAGAAGTGCTGGTTAGGGTATTTCCTTTGAAGTTTCTATGGTTCAAAGAATGATGTGAGGCCAGATTCATTCTATAGCTTTTCTAAAAAAATTATTGTTAAAAATGTTTTGGGATTTTGACTAATAAGTAGATATTTTTCAAGGATGTGTTTCATCTCTATATTGTCATTTATGAACCTACTACTCAATAAGTTTGTTGAGCCATTTATAAATCTACAATACTATGCTAAAAACAAAAATGGTTGACAATTAGATAATATGTAGTAAAGATACTCTGTGTTTGATTAATGTGATGAATCTTTATCTTTTATACGTCCATGGATGAACTATTGATTTTTAAACTACCATTTGTAAATTACATCTGCTGTTCTTTGGTTCCAGGCTATGATTAGTAAATTTGTGTTTTGTAAAGTTTTGCTATATATATTTTATTTTGATTTTACTAAAAATACAGATATTTCTAATTATATTGGACAGTTTGATAATCAGCATTTGTTTTTCATATTATATCAATGTGTTTTCATGTTTTTTAGAATTTCCTTGGTAAAAGTCCATATTTGATTATAAGTAGTATAATCAATCAAAGACCCCTAGTAAATAAGAAAGGTGGCCAAATGACCATATTGGCTAATTTAACAAATATGTCTGCTTTATTGTAATGTATAAGTGGATATAGCTCATGTTTTACTATATCTTAGATAGAAGACCTGTTGTGCGTTATCTCATCTTTCATCAAAAGTGGCTCGACAATCTATTGTGGATCTTGGCCTGCCCACAAAAAGAAGTTGCCACTCCTGTTGATTCCTGGCAACTTCCCTCCATCTTCTAACCCTTAGAATCTGTAGGTCTTCTTCCACATCATCAATACATCTCATTTGTAGTCATCCTCTGCGTCTTGTGACCTCTGGTTTTGAAAATGTTAATCTCTTCATGTATTAGTGATCTGGCATCCTAGTAATGTGTCTAGCCCATCTAAGTCTCTGCACTTTAACGAATTTCACAATATCTGAATCAGAGTATAACTGATATAGTTCAAAGTTGTATCTTCAACGCCATAGCCCATTTTCATTTACGGTCCCAAAAATCTTTCTAAGAATTTTTCTCTCAAAAATACCAAGTAGTCTTTCCTCATTTTGAGATAAGATCCACGTTTCAGCCCCATGTACCAAAACCGGTCTTATTAAGGTCTTGTATATATTAAGCTTTACTGCTTTTTACTTTTTATTTCGTCACTTGTTGTGTTTGTTGCGTTTACTAGCGATCCAAGATATGTAAATTCTTTGTCTTGCTCAAAGGTATGGTTGTTAATTTGAATTCTCTGTTGGATATTTCGAGGGTTTTTAGAAACCAACATATATTTGGTTTTTCCTTGTTTACCATAAGTCCTAATTCACTTGCTACGTCCGAAGCCTTATAAAACACTACATCATGTCTCTCATACTTCTGCCTACTAGAACTATATCATCAACGAATGCGAGAATTTGCGTCGATCTATTAAAAATAGTTCCATTCATTCTAATAGTTAATTGTCTGATTGCCTTTTCCAAGGCAATATTAAAGAGCAGACACGCCAACGCGCCCCCCTGTCTTAGACCATTATTAATGTCAAAAAATGTAGAGTTTTTCCTTCAATTCTAACGCATGAGCTGACGTTTTGCATTGTTAGTTGGGTCAACTTAACTAACTTAGGTGGGATCCCAAAGTATATCATTGCATTATATAATGCAGTTCTATTCACACTGTCATAGGCTGCTTTGAAGTCAATGAAGAGATTATATTTTAGTGACTTTTACAGAATCTGCCTATGTGCTTGAATTTGATGTGTAGTTGACTTTGAAGCAGTAAATCCGCATTGATATTGACCAACAATATTCTTTATAAAATGTTTAAATCTTTCAAATAGTACATTTCCAAATGTATTTATGCATTTATAATAAATTAATTTTATTATAAAAACATTTAACATATTCAACCTAATAAAGTTTTTATAAGTTTTATTGCGCAGTTATAATATTTCTTAGTTATTTGCATTCTATTTATGGAATATAAGGTCATAAATTAATTACTATTTAACTGGGAATAAGCCACAATTAAAGATAAAAATACGTTTATTGACGTTTCAATTTCCACTTCGGAAATCGTTCTCAAAATACAAACAGTAAATTAAATAAATTTTGTTTTTTGTTACATAGTGAAAAATACTTCTAATAATTTAATTTTATCTGACTCATTTATATAATTTAAATAAATTAAATAAATAAATAAATTCAACATTTCAACAACATTCAAAACAACAAACACGTTGAGATCTATTTTGTCCAAAACTAAACCTAACAATGAACAAGAAAGGACAAAGAATTGCATTAATAAAATACCTTGTGAATGCGATCAGTTTTATTTAGGTGAATCATCAAGGCCATTAAATGTTAGAATAAGTGAACATCAATCTTATATTAAAAATAGAGAATTTGATAGATCTCAAATATGTAAACACGCATGGGATAATGAACATAGGGTTCAATTGAATAATTCAAATGTAGTCCTAAAAGAAACGGACGGTAAAAAAAGAAAAATCAAAGAAGCGGCTCTAATTATGCTAAATAAGGCCAATTGTGTCGCAAATTCCTCGGCAGAATGTAGTAGGATCTGGTTACCAATATTGAAAGAGGAAGTTATTAATAAGAAAATACCAGTATTAGTAAGTCAGTAACATATAGAGGATACATCATTTATGTTTTTTAAATAACGTAACAGTTTTTTAAACAACGTAAAATCAGAATTTTGATGTTTGTTGAAGGTAAACTAAATTCACGAACAAATACTTACAATGTCGGGATAGTATTATGAGGTTTTTTTCCTGTTTTTCCCTCATAATTTACTATGGAATCACTAACAGGAGAATTTTACTGTCATCATATCATGTGTTTGTCTTTTTAAAGACGAATTACATGCTATGATTTTTTTCTGACGGATATTCTCAAGTTAAAGTTGATTTCATGTAATCGAATGAACTATCTTATAAGTAAAGTCGTCCCAGGAGCGCAACTCAACAATATTGGCAATATCATTTTAAAGTCGTCTACTTTAAAATGCATAATGTATGTCTGAATTGTCAATATAAATGAGTCAGATAAAATTAAATTATTAGAAGAATTTTTCACTATGTAACAAAAAACAAATTTGTTTAATTTACTGTTTGTATTTTGAGAACGATTTCCGAAGTGGAAATTGAAACGTCAATAAACGTATTTTTATCTTTGATTGTGGCTTATTCCCAGTTAAATAGTGATTAATTTACAATGCCACAAGAAAATAGCTTCAGAACAGTAATAAGGTCATAAATTGCTAAAATGTGTGCAACTAAAGGTGAAATTGACAAGGAAACTAAATTCCTATAGCTGGCTGTATACCATCTATCACAAAAATTTTATTTAATTTTTTTTATAAAAGGTATATTTAAAACACCCTATCGGGCTACATCACAGAACGTTTTCGTAATTAATATTCCATCATCAGTGTTATCCTAAAAGTATAACCACTTAATTAAAGAAAACATGAAATTTAAAATTTTGCCCAAAGTTTAATTTAACCCGGTCAAATGCCTTCTTGATGTCCACGAAACATAGGTTTGTTGTATTCTAATGATTTCTCTTGCACTTGCCTCATTATAAATATAGCGTCGGTGCATGATCTTCCCGACCTAAAACCTTGTTGTTCTTCTGCTAGTGTTATAATGTCATTAAGTTTATTTGTTATCACTTTGGCAGTTCATTTTAGTGCTGTGGTTAATAAATTAATGCCTCTGAAAGTTCCGGGTCCGATTTGTTTCCATTTTTGAAATGGGGTATTAGGATGCTTGATCTCCATTCTTGAGGAATTCTGTTTTGTTCCATTATTTTTTGATAAGTTTTAATAGTTGTTTGGTCAGATTCGATCCTCCATACTTTAGGAGTTCGTTCGATATTCTGTCCTCTCCTGGTGATTATCTATTTTTTAATTTCCTTAATGATTCCTTTATCTCTTTCTCCTTAATATTTATTTCTTCGTTTGTCGTCACCTCTGGTGTTGGTGGTTCATTATCGTCACCTTTAGCAAATAGGGATCGAAAGTAGACTACCCATGTTTCCTTCTGAATGTGTTTCGTTTTTATTAGTTCGTTCATCTCTTTTCTTTATCCTCTGATCATTCTCGATATTTCTTTTTGTGTTCCGTAGAAGTCGTGTTCCATCTGTTTTGAGTAGCTCTGCCAGTTTTCACTTTTTATTTGTCTAACTAAAGTATTCGTTTCAGTTCTAATTCGTTTATAGTGATTGTATGCCTGTTGTGTTTGTTGTTTTCTGTATTGTAAAGAAGCTTTTCTCTTTTCTTCACATTTTGTCTTCATTTCCTCTCTAAACCATGGTGTTTTCTTTTTTGAGATGTTCCTTTTGGTTACTTTCCTCTCTCCAAGTGATTCTGTTGCTGCGTTAATTATGTTATTTTTGAGTTTTTCTCAGCTTTCCTCGATGTTATCATTTTCTAATATTTCTTTCCCAGCAATCTTTTCTGATATTCTTTTCCTGTATAAGTATTCCGTAGATTCCGTATTTAGTCCTTCGACTTTGATTTTTGTTTGTGTTTGCGCCGCTCTCTTGAGTGTGAAGTATTTCATGATGATTCTTATTTTACATAATACTAGGCTATGGTCACTACCTACATTTGCTGAGTTGAGGCATCTTACGTCGATTATTTTCGCAATCCATAGGTCGCTGGTTCATAATCCGGCTCGAAGGAACAAATGGAAAGATTCGAACGTATTTATGAGGTCCGAATCGTTTTATAATGCCCCTTTGTCCGCTTCTTTTCGATCAACGATGATAAATGTAATAAAAAGTTGAAGTTGTGGGGAAAAATGTTGATTTTATTGACAACTACTACAAATTACACTATATGATGATGTTAAGGTAACTATCTATAATAGACTGCGCTCAAATCTCCAATTTATAATCCCAAATAATTCATACCTCAGCACAGAGGTTATTGCTTCTATCATACTATCAAACTTTGAACTATTAGCTTACATTACAATTTAATCTAGGCCGTAATTGCAACACTTAGGAAGTTCAATTAGAAAATATATTATTCGCAATTTATTTAGTTATAGGTAAATGAACTAATTAAAATATTACTCGATATAGTTTTCACAATGTTTGAATTATACACAGTGAAACTATAAAAGATTAAGCAGTTAAGAATAATGTGAGATTACAAATTAAGGGATTAATTTGTGATTGAACAATGGATGTATAACATAATCTATCATAGATCTTTGTCCACGGGTGTTATTAAAAGTATATTTGTGTTGGTCTTTATGGTCAAAAAATGGTTTGTTTATTCTTAGGTAGTTATTCGTGCAGAAGTTTATCATCAGATCTCCATTTTCGTTTTTGACATCCCCGTTATGTTTTTGCTTAAGTCCAGGTATTACTTGATTGCCTATTCCAGCGTTAAAATCCCCCAATATCATCATCTTCCCTCTGACTTGATCTACTACTTGTAATTGGCCATAAAACTCTTCCCTTGTTGTTTGAGGCTTGTTATTTTCTGGGCCGTATACTCCGAATGATGTTTAGGTCTTCCTTCTCCATTTTTATCTTTACTGTTACTATTCTTTCTGATATGTATTGACACTCTTTGATGTGATTTTGGTACCGTTTGTGTATTAATAAGGCTACGCTTTCTTTGGTCCTATTTTCTTTTGCTACTCCAGTGTAGATTAGTATACATACATACAAGACAAATGCGTCAATATTGGAAGTGGTAAAAATCAAGAAAATGTTAAAAGTTACATACTATGACCAAAAATTGCCTATTTTTGTGATACCGATTTTTGGAGAAATCAATTGAAGATTTCCCATTTATGTACTGAATGATATAAATTTATATTATTTTAAATATTTTAGGTCTTCCAAAATCAACAATATGCACAACTATCAACAAAGTCTGCTCATCAGGCATGAAATCCATAATGTTTGCAACCCAGAGCTTGCTCCTCGGTGACCAAGATGTAATTCTAGCCGGAGGAATGGAATCCATGTCGAATGTACCATACTATATGAAACGAGGCCAGACACCATATGGAGGAGTCCACCTTGCCGATGGGGTTGTAGCTGATGGTTTATGGGATGTTTACAACAAATTCCATATGGGTAACTGCGCAGAAAACACAGCAAAGAAGCTGAACATATCCAGGGAAGAACAGGATGAGTATGCTATCAACAGTTACAAGAAAAGTGCCGAAGCATACAAAAACAATGCTTTTGCTTCTGAATTAGTATCAGTTAATGTACCGCAAAGGAAAGGACAACCCGATTTAGTAGTTTCAGTAGATGAAGAGTACAAGAGGGTTAACTTCGAAAAGTTTAACAAACTGCCAACAGTTTTCCAAAAGGAAAACGGTACAGTAACAGCAGGAAACGCTTCAACTTTAAACGACGGTGCAGCTGCTTTAATCTTAACCACTGCCGAACATGCCAAGAGGTTAAACGCTAAACCTTTAGCTCGGGTTGTTGGCTACCAAGACGGCGAATGTGATCCAATCGATTTCCCAATAGCCCCTTCCGTAGCTATTCCAAAATTGCTCGAAAAAACTGGAGTCAGCAAAGACGAAATTGCCATGTGGGAAATCAATGAAGCATTCAGTGTTGTTATTTTAGCTAACCAAAAAATCCTTGGGCTCAATCCTGATAAAGTTAATATTCACGGTGGTGCTGTCAGTTTAGGTCATCCCATCGGTATGTCTGGTGCCAGACTGATCACCCATCTCGTTCACTCTCTCAAGGCTGGAGAGAAAGGAGTCGGTGCTATCTGTAATGGAGGAGGAGGAGCTTCTTCCATGATGATTGAGAAATTGTAAGTGGATCTTGGATCTCAGAACTGAATCTTAGGTTTAAGTAAAATCATATTTTTTTATGAATTTTAGATGTGCATTTATGAACTGCTATTATAATTTATAAACGATTTTAAATTCTGAATATAGTATATACCTTAATACATAATCTTTTTAAGTATTTGCTATACCATAATACCTCATAGTGTAATCCAAAAAAAGAATACTATCAAGAATCGAACAATGATTAGATGTTACGTTTTTTCTGTCTTGCTGTACAGGGTGTCCCAGACTAATTTACCCATGCTATATCTCTTAAACAAATAGAGGTTTTCGAATGGGACAAAAAGTGATCTATTCTACTTGTAATACACTTTAAGCTGGATTTATAGTTTGACGCACTGTAGACGTAGACGTACTGGAGACGTAATAAACGGACTGTAAATATAATTTCAATTTATAAATTGACGGAGTGGAATTTTTGCGCATGAGTAGAAACAGCGGCTAGAGTTGGTGACCATGATATTATAATATCATTTTATTATTTATTATTATTATTTTATAAATTCTTAACCTCCATTGTAACAAATAATCAACAAAATAAAAATTCGACTATGTTAATAAGCAACTTTACAAAATTGTGGGCGTGCCAGACAGTTCATTTTGGTTGACAGCACAAAATTCTTCCTTTTGATTGGCCAGACGCAAGTAACGCACTGTAAAAGTTGAAAGTTGACCAACTCTTCCGTTACAGTGCGTTTCGCTTACGTCCCGTCTTGCGTTTACGTTCATTTATAAATAAGAGTACACAAAAGTCTATGTTGATCTTTTTCCAGTGCGTCTGCGTCTACAGTCCGTCAAACTATAAATCCAACTTTAATATGGCGTAGAAAAAATCATCCCTTAGTTACAACCCCTAACTTTAATTTTTTTAATAGCACCACTCATGATACTATGAATAACAAGATAGGATCTTCCCGTAGCTCAAAATCGGTCGGGTTCGCGCATGCCGTCATTGGAGAGTAGAATTTGAAATCTTGTTAAAGTTAAATGGGATTTGTATGCATTCTATGATGAAACTACTAGACGAAAATAAGTTAAAAGGTTTAATAATTACAATAATCGTACACATAAGGATATCTCCAAACTATTTATTAAAGATTATTTATTGATATATACAAAAACTGACATTTCGAACGTGCAACTCTCCAATGACGTCACAAAAACATGCGCAATATCTTATCTTATAGTCATAGTATCATGGCACCACTTATATTTTTTTATAGTTTTGGATGTGGTCTTCTATCGTCTATTCAACAGATTTATTAAAAATAAAATCGGTTTGTAAATAATCAAGAAATCAATTTATTTTTTATTTTTGTTAATTAAGTGTCCCAGACTAAATTATCCAGGCTATATTTCTTAAAAAAATAGAGATTTTTTAAAGGGACAAAAACTGGTCTATTCCATTTATAATACACTTTAATATGGCGAAGAAAACATCATTCCCTAAATATTCATCTCGTAGTTACAACCCCTAACTTAAATTTTTTAATGGCACCCTGTACATTTTTTATAGATTTGGATGTGGTCTTCTATCGTCTATTCAATCGATTTTTTAAAAATAAAATGGGTTTGTAAGGTATCAAGAAAATATCAGTTTATTTTTTATTTTTGTTAAATTTATCAAGATGCCTTAAAAAATATATGTAATAGAAAAGAAATATTATGCTTTATTATCACTGAAAATTTTACTATTTTAACTACTAGTATAACTTCTTACGTGCGTACGAAGTACACACTTTTTTTATTTAAACATTATTTTTAATTTTTAAAAATTTGGTCTTTGTAGTAGCATACGTTATCTTCCAGTATGCAAAATTAAGTGTGCAAAAATTACCAAAAAAATCTCTTATAATAAAGTCACACTATTTGAAAAACTTTGGCGGTTATTTTACGTCTTGGATATTACCTTTTTGCTCGATGAATATTACCCTTAATTCAGTTTGCCATAATTTGATCTGTCAAATCAATAATTATTATTTTTGACGTTTGGTATTAGACCAGTAATAATTATATTTGTTTTAATTGTGTTGTAATTTCAATGTGCCTTATTTATTTTCGCCTGACGAGTACGTTGATATCATTTTGATTTATGGATAATGCCTAAAAATACAAGTTATTTTAGACAATTATATCAAGAAAGGTTTCCAAATCGAAACAATCCAAGCGAAAAGATTTTGGAACGCTCACTTAGACAGGGACATTTTCCTAATATTAAAAGAGATACAATTGAACGCACAATAAGATGTAACCAAAACCTTATTAATGTACTAGCATAAGTTAATTTTAAACCCAAGGTATCTGTTAGAACTCTCGCCAATGAATGTGGCATTCCAAAAAGTTCTGTGCATAGAATTCTCAAGGATTTTAAGTACCATCCTTTTAAAGTGCACCTAGTTCAAGGATTACAGCCTGGTGATGACCAAAGACGTCTTGAGTTTATTGCAAAAATGATGTTATCAGTACTTTTTTTTATCAAAAATATTGTGGAGTGAAGATGACAATAATGGTGTTCTTAACCGTCACAATTCCAATTATTGGAACGTGAATCCACGAATCCCCGTGAACCCACATGGATGATGGAAACAAGATTTCAGAATATTTGGGGTATAAATGTGTGGTGCGGTTTAGTTAATGGCCGTGTTATAGGTCTTTACTTTTTTAACGGTACTCTAACAGGTGTTCGATATTTAGACTTTTTAGAAAACATTTTACCCGATTTGCTAGAAGATATTCCTCTTCATGAGCGTCAAGAAATGTGGTGGCAACAAGACGGAGCTCCTCCACATAATGCGAGAATCGTTAGCGACCACCTACAAAACCGTTTTGATAACCACTGGATAGCAAACAACTCTCCAGAAGTTATGTGGGCCGCACGTTCATGTGATTTGTCACCTCTTGACTCTTGCTTTTGGGGAGCGATAAACGATATTGTTCATCAATCAAAACCGCAAAATTTAGAGGAATTAAAAGAAAAATAAGACAAGCCAAATAATGTCGCCAAATTACTCCCGAAATGATTTGAGCCACATGTATCAGAAATCTACTGGAACGATTCGAAATGTGTGTTGCAGCAGGTGGGTTACAATTCGAACATTTAATGTAAATAATATTAGTTAGTTAGTTGGTGTTTTGATTTATTTTTTTCATGTAATTTTTATTGCATTTATTTTTATTGTTCCTTTAAGTTTTATTGTTCCTAAGGTTGTATTTTATTTGTACGAGTAGTATGTTCAATTTGCAATTTATTTAAAGTTTGCAATAAATTGTTTTTGTTTTACTTACATTCTTTTATTTTGTAATATTGACGATTTATCTAATTTCAGTGACAATAAAGTATATTTCTTTTCTACTCTATTTTTTAAGGCTATCTTGATTGATTTAACAAAAATAAAAAATTAATTTTCTTGATACCTTAAAAAAACCCATTTTATTTAAAAAAAATCGGTTAAATGGACAATAGAAGACCACATCCAAAACTATAAAAAAATGTACAGGGTGCTTTTAAAAAATTTAAGTTAGGGGTTGTAACTAAGGGATGAATATTTAAGGGATGATTTTTTCTTCGCTATATTAAAGTGTATTATAGATGGAATAGACCAGTTTTTGTCCCTTTAAAAAAATTTCTATTTTGTTAATAAATATAGCCTGGATAATTAAATCTGGGACACTTAATTAACAAAAATGAATTGATTTCTTGATTATTTACAAATCGATTTTATTTTTAATAAATTTGTTAAATAGACGATAGAAGACCACATCCAAAACTATAAAAAATATATACAGAGTGCTATTAAAAAAATTAAAGTTAGGTGTTGTAACTAAGAGATGAATATTTAGGAGATGATTTTTTTCTACGCCATATTAAAGTGTATTACAAGTAGAATAGATCACTTTTTGTCGTATTCGAAAATCTCTATTCGTTTAAGCCCTGTATGGCCGTGAAAGTTGGACAATGGACTCTGAAATAGAAAAAAGAATAGACACCTTTGAGATGTATATATACAGACGAAGTTGAGAATTTCATGGGTACAACGAGTTACTAATGTTGAGGTACTTCGCCGGATGTATAAACAAAAAGAATTACTAAGAATAATCAAAGAGAGGAAAATGCAATACTTGGGTCATGTGTTGAGAGGCGAAAAATATGAATTACTTCAAGTTATACTGGAAGGAAAAGTACAGGGCAAAAGATCAGTAGGAAGACGCCAGAACTCATGGCTTAAAGACCTGAGGAGATGGTTCAACCGCTCATCCGCAGAAATCTTTCGCGCAGCAGTTTCCAAAACCACAATTGCCATTTGGATCGCCAACCTTCGAAAGGAAACGGCGCCATGAGAAGAAGAAGTACCACATTTGTAGCGAGTGACTCATATTTTCAATGTAGACCTTTGTGGGTCTGAGAGGAAAGGAAATGGACGAGTCATAGGCGTGCTCTTATTATTAAAAATAATCAGGATTTTAGAAGGATTTGATTGTCATAAAAATTATTTTCCTATTTTATAGATGCCTTAGATGAGGAAAACTAATCCTTGTTATTCAAGGATTAAATTTAATTCCTAGTGTCAAATGATATTTAATGACATGAAACTTTTAGCACTGGTAAAAGTGAATTACCTAGATAGTTCTTGGTTCGAAATATTACTAGTAATAAATGGTTAGCCTTAATTGAATATTATTTCCATAAAATATAAAAAATATGTTCAAATAAAAACTAACATATAAATTCTAATCTGAGTCATCTATGTCTTCTTCATATTCATCAGTAGTATCTTCGCCTAGATCCACAACTACTGGTTCCTTGGTAATTTCAATAAAGTTCAATGAGGGTTTCACATATTCTGCTCTTCTTTCACTACAGTCCCGATACATTTTATACACGACTGTGAAGTCACATTACTGACGGCACTATTAAGCAGATTTTAAATATCTCCAAAAAATTGGTTAAGCCTAATATTAC